TTTCTGCTCTAGTAAAGATTCACAGTCTCAGAAACCGTATACAGGGTCGCTGTGAGTTGGAACCAACTCAATGGTGTGTCCAACAACCAAATGACGAAAGAAAGTAAAAACACACAAAAAAAGAGGGGAGTCAAGTTTAGAATCATGAGTTTTGAAGACTGGAAGGGAAAACACACATACACACACATGATAGCTTTAAAATTAATTAATGGGAGTATCTCACTGGAATTACTATTCTAAATTATTAATACACTAGTCTTTAAACTTCACAAATTCCAACAGAGGACACAGAGCATTGTGATGGCATATTGGAGAAGGGACTGGTATTGTTAAGTGACTGAATTTGTTATTAAATTTAATTTCCTACTAAAGAAAGGAAATGATTTCAACTCAAGAATTCCAGCAGCTTCTTTAGAAATGGTCACTCCAGACTCATATGTGTCTGTGTTCAACTTGCTATCTGGAGAAATGTAGAAATATTTCTCAAGCACACAGAAGGCTTGGAATTGAGTAAACCTACCATTACTCAGGTTTTCAATCACCTCATATGGATGCGAAAGCTGGACAGTGTATAAGGAACATTATAGAAGAATTGATGCCTTTGAATTGTGGTATTGGAGGAGAATACTAAAAGTGCCATGGACTGCCAAAAGAACCAATAGATCTGTGTTGGAAGAAGTGCACCCAGAGTGCTCCTTAGAGGCCAAGATGGCCAAACTTTGTCTCTCATACTTTGGACATATTGTCAGGAGGGACCAGTCGCTGGAGAAGGATATCACGCTGGATAAAATGGAGGGTCGGAGAAGAAGAAGAAGACTCCCGAGATGGATTGGCCAAGTGGCAGCATTGATGGACTCAAGTGTGGCAACAGTAGAGAGGTTGGCCCAGGATCAGGCAGTGTTTCATTCTGCTGTGCATAAGGTCGCTATGGGTCGGTACCAACTCGATGGCACCTAACAACAACCATTACTCAGGAGTCCTGGTGTGGCACTGTGGTTTAATGTACCAGAGTGCAAAGCCGTTTGAACTGTAAAGTAGGTGGTTCAAGCTCAACAGCTGCTCCTGGGAAACCCTATAGAGGATCGCTATGGGTCAGAACTGACTCGAAGGCACTTAACTACAACAACAAACCATTACTCGATTTTGAGTATTTTGAAAAATACCTTCTTCCAGAGGCCTGGAAACCACAGGACCAAGGACTAAACACCCTGCAAACCACTGTGCATTGTGGGATGTTTGCCAATATCACTAGTCTCTCCAACTAAGCCACATACAGAACCCAAGGAGGCAACCACACTGTCTCCTGGCATTGCCGACTGTCTCTAAGGTGTTAAAGCACTCCAACAGGGGACACTGACCTCCACATCGACTCAAGTTGAAATTTAATTTCCCCTCTGGTAGCGTGGTGTTTACGAATCGGGCTGCAAACCGCAAGGTCAGCAGTCCGAAACTACCAGCTGTTCCATGGGAGAAAGATGAGGCTTTCTGCTCCCGTAAAGATTTATAGCGTCGGAAACCCTGTTCAGGGTCACTATGAGTCGGAACCGACTCCACAGCACTTAACTTCCTCCTCCTCCCAGGTAGACAAGAAAAAAGATGAAAATCGACCTTAGCTCGAATAGAATTCTCCACCAGTGCAGACCTGTGATCAGAGATGGAGTGCCTTCCATCTGGAAGTCACCGAGCCAGGTGGCAAGTCAGAACACAGATTTTACATTTTCTGCTTACTACAGCCTAAAACAGGCTGCTTCCCTCAATAGCAGAACTAAAGAAAAGAGGAATTTTGAGGCATTTTCCAACAGAACCTGAGAAAAATATCGAGGTTAAACAAGCCAGGGCCCCTGTGCTCCTTGGATGTTGCATGGTGAGACCACCCGGGACCACAAAACCTGACGCCCAGATGGGCAAATGTTGCCAGTTACTCTGCAGGTCAGCTCTGGTTTTTTATAGATTTCCAAAAAAAAAACACTTTGTTCTTGTCAATGAACTGCAGTGATCCAAACAAGAAGAAGTGTCTTATTGGAGAGCTGTGTCTGGGGAGAGCTGTGTAACTGTATGCCGCCGGGTCTCCAGTCCTCCCTGCCCCCCAGAAAAGCCCATGGTGGGGCTCCAGCACAGGGTGAGCTGCTCTAAGACTTGCCAGGGAGTCGGAATGGAAGGCACCTTAGAAATGACGTGTGTGGACACTTGGCTCCCTGGTCACTTAGGAAAATCAGGTTCACTTTTCTTAAACAGAAAGCAATCGAGATGTCCCCATTTAACACATTAGGTGAGTGTGTCTGAAAATCCTTACAGCCCGCACAGAGCACTTGACCTTCACAGTGATTTTACACGTCTGCAGGCTTACGGGAGGGGCCCTGGTGGCATGGTGGGTTAAACGCTGGTTTAAACAGGTCAGCAGTTTTGTCGGAGACAAAGTTCTGTGCTTCCGTAATGATCACTGCTTGGGAAGACCTACGGGAAAGTTCTATTTTTTTTTCCTTCAGGGTGGGCATGAGTCAGAATCAACTTGACAGCAGTTAGCTTGTGATAATTGGTTTTGATTTGTATGACGATGTCAAGAAATTTAACCCAAGCAGTGTTCAATGGAAACCGGTACCGTTGACCTTGAACAAAGCAGGTTAAAAAGCAGAGATGAACAAAGTATAATTTAAACTCGCCCACAGCTAGGCTGCTAAGAGCCTACTGTTGGCTGGAAGACATACTGATAACATGAGCAGTCGATTAGCACACAGTTTGTATGTTACATGTATGATGTACTCTGCCCGCGTAAAAGCTGCATTTTTATTTTGAGATAAAAAGGAAGTTCACAAGTGCCAGATTTTCCCACCTTCTAGTGCAGCCTCAGTGATGGCTCCATAAACTTCTTTCTCTTATTTTGTGATGGTCCTCACACTGGATTTATTGATCTAGAAATGGCTGCAGACCCCAACCTACAGAACAACTTAAGTTCTCTTGTCATGCCATGACTTCGCTCTGTATCTTAGAAGCACTCATGGGTCACATGGTGTTAGGTAAGGTTCACGGGATTGCACCAAACACAGTGAAATTCACATGAGAACCAGGAGATGACTTTTTACTGGGATACGTGATTTACTAGAAACACAACTCCTCCGGTGGAGACGATTCACATAACACAATAGTGAAGAAAAACGGTTCCCATATAAGTGGACCTGCGCAGCCCAAAGGGTCACGTGCATTCCCATCCCAATCTCCACCAGCAATGTCTGGTATTGTTTCTATTAGGTGGCTATCTTGCTGTCTCCACAAGCGTGGTGTGCTGTGAGTTCATTGTGGGAGCTATTGCCGATCTATCTCATGAAGCTTTTCCTCATGTTTGCTGAACCTCTACCTGACCCACATGAGGTTCTTTCCCTGGGATGTGACCCAGCTCCGGGAGGCTACATGGACTACAGGTATGAAGGCAGGTGTGTTTCTACCTTGAATTCTGACCTAACTCCAGGTGGCTGGGATCAGAGAAAGAGAGAGCTTTTGGGTGGCGCATGACGAGGATGCAGAAGTGACTGGACCCATCCCCACCTTTCAGGGATTGGGTTCATGCTAATTCTCACCACACAGTTACCAACAAAGGTGGGAATGTGCCCACCTTTGGTGATTCTTCAATGAGCGCACAAACACCTTCAACAGCCTGAGCCTAACTCTACCGAAGACAGCCTCCACCGTGGGAGTTGGTGGTGGAAGTCTCCTTGCCGCCGGCTCGGGTTTCCACACAGTAAGGACAAACAGCTCCTGATTTCAGTACAATGGATTCTCCTAACTCCTGCTCTTGTACAAACTGGAATCCTTTCCTAATAGCACAGAGAAGACAACGTAACGCCAAGTGTGATGAAGCTCTATGATCATAATTCACTACCACAGCTACTATTATTGTTACTGACAGAAGACAAAAAGAACCGATGACTGTTTGTTGAAAACTCGCTTTGGCTCCTCTGCATGCCTTGATCTCATTTTCACAATGGTCATGCAGGGTTTGTGGTTTTTGGTGACAACTGCACAGGCGAGGAAATTGAAATCTGCAGGGACACCTGGAAGGTTGAAGCCCCTGTCGGGAATGCAATCTGGGTTTTCAATGGCCTTCCTCGCACTGACATTAACTCTGCTTGTGGGACTACTGTTAGGGGCCTGGGGAATCAAAAGCAGACCAATCCCCAGCCCTAGCTATCTAGTCTCCGGAGTATTCCCAAACACCAGTATACAATGGTCTATCTGTGTCTACACTCTTCACTACAAGCCCTGGTCCCTGTTAACGGTGGTGGGAAAGTTGGACACAGATGAAGTTTGCACAACATGATGGGTGTAATCAACACCACTGAACTGTTCGAGAGGTCCAGGCAGGACTGTGTGTTTTTAGCACAAATTAAAAAACTTGTGAGAGGAAGGCTTTCCAGATCACACAGCTCTCGAGATTCCTGGCCTGCCCTGTGGATAGTTCTAGAGTCCTGTTGAGAGTCAGTGTGGGCCATCACCTCCCTTCCTGGGAGACCATGCTATCGGACCTTTCTTGGATATTGGAGAGCCAAAGTGGCTCCTGGGGTCTCAGATCTACCCCAAATCCAAACCAACCAGCCCCCCTCATTGAAACTGAACTAAGGAAAACAGACGGATCTCATCTCTTCTCAGCTCATGCTACCTCATCGCCGTCATTAGCTACTCTTCGCTACAGTGAATGAATGGTCCGTCTTAGAAGAATGATCCTTAGACGCAGAGATGGCAAGACTTTGACTCACTTGCTTTCCACGTGCCGTCAGGGAAGACCAATCTCTGGAAAAGGATATCATGCTCAGGCAAGTGGAGGGTCAGCTTAAAGGATGGAAGCCTTCTATGAGGTGGGCTGACACAACAGCCACAAAAACGAACTCACACATGCCACCAATTGTGAAGACGACACAAGACGGAGCAACGGTTTGTGTCACCAGTTCCTCCAACAGCAGTTAACTGGGGGAGGGAATGAAAGCTTGGGAAGAGCCAAGCGCACCTACCTGGATCAGAGACAGGTCCTCAAGCCTCAACCTGAACAGGTAGTTCCTATAGAAAACAAAGAGAAAGGGTTTTACTGTAATAGAGAACAAGGAACAACATAAAAACGCATCACAATGCAGGCTTTAAAAGCATCCTCCTGAGAAGGACTCTGTCCACAAACACACGTCTGAGATGAGTGAGGAAGCTAGGGAGCAAGACGTGTGTGCCTGTGGGTCTGCGTGTGTGGCGGGGGGATGTGACAGCCACGGATCTGTGTGTGGGTACAACTGGACTGAAACAAAAATCTAAGGGTCACAGTTGGATGAACAAGTGTGTACTGAGGTTGGAAGTGTGAACTGTGAATGTACCCCCCAGGTATGAAACCACAAAGCACTGAAGAGGAAACTCAGTCTTCATCGATGAAGGGTAAGAACCCTGGGAAGAAAATCAATAGCGAGGGAGCACACAGGTTAAAAATGGGACAAATACTGACGCTACTTGGAACGATACTGCTATGGCTTCAACACCAAAGTTGCTCTGGCTTGTGAAGGTGAGGCTCAGTACTCTTAACACCCATCTTGGAGGTGGGAGGGGCCACAGAAAGAGTGAGGGAGGAGAGGGTCCGCTGGTGTATGCATCATGGTGGGGAGGAACGGACTCCATGAGGAAGCAGCCCCCAGAAATGTCTGAGTCACTCAGGGTTTGTTCTGTTGCCTCAGGAGGGACCCGCCCTGGGAAAAGGACATCAGGCCAAGAAAAGTCAAGAGGAAGATGCTCAGTGAGATGGATTGTGGCACAGGACCGGGCAGTGCTTCATAGTGTACCTAAGGTCCTTGTGAGTCAAAATGGACCCAACAGCCCCTAACAATACGATGAAATATTTCAAACACCCTTGAGCAACAAAAGAAGGGGCCTCATCAGAAACTCAATGGGTGGGACAAGTCCCCAGGAGAAGTGACAAGGGACATTCGGTCAGTCATACTGTCCAGGATGGTCTCTCTCTTTGCTCAGACAACATGCAGCTCAGCTCAGTGGCTGACTTTCTTACCTGACACGCCCCCAGACAAGCTCACATTCATAGGGGTGGGGGCACATAGTGTGTGGAGACACAAGACAATCGATGACAGGACGCTGCCTAGCGCTGTGATTACTGTTGGGTACCACAGAGACAATTTCCACTCAAGGCGACAGTCCCACTGGGTATCCTAGGATGTCATCCTGAAGGGAGCAGATGCCCAGTTCTTCCTCCTGCACAGCCGCTGGGGGGAAATCAAGCCTCCAATCTTTCAGTTCACCACGGAGCACTTTAACTATGGTACCACCAGGGTGGCTTTTCTAATTTTATTAAAACAAGCAAGGAGCCCTGGTAACACAGTGGTTAAAGTACTTGGCTGTGAGCCCACAGGTCAGTGAGTCAAAGCCACGAGAAGACGAGGCAGTCTGCTTCCCTAAGGACAGATAACCATGGACAATCCTACAAGGCAATTTACTACTCTGCCCTACGTGAGGTGGTTTTAAACTGTATGAAAAGATTCTATTAGCTCTTCATTCCATTTTTTCACAAAGTGTTTTGCATGCCCTGGTGTGGGGGCTATGAGTCAGAATCCAGAGAAGCAGAAACACAAGCATGTATGTACATGGGCAGGTGACACGCAGAGAGGAAGGGGTCGAGAAATCAGGATGAAACATGAACCATTTATGGACTGAAATCTTGTAACCCAAGTCTTGAGGAATGTTCATGCTTATGCCTCTCCTTCCTTGAGCAACAGTAAAGACGCACAGAACCTGCCCAGGGCACATAGTTGAGCAACCACATCCTGGGATACGCCTTAAGAATGACCACCCATAAAAATCCATATTCTATGAGACTTACCATTAAGGAAGACCACCCATAAAAATTCCATGTTTTATGGGACTTGTCATTAAGGAAGGCCAACCATTAAAATTCTGTATTTTCACTTCCTTCTGAGAGAAATTACAGATTGGACTAGCTTACTAACAGCAGTAGGCATAACTTGAAGGATGAAACCTTCTACTGGGGCAGAGGAGAATGTCAACCCATGGAAGGAGTCTGAATTAGAGTCCCAAAGAATCACACATACTCGACATCACAGAATAAATTCTGTTTGCCCCTACCAGAGGCCTCTGTGGTGGGATCCATCTTGGAAAGTGCAGTGCATGCGTCCAATCAGCACGAGCCTTCCCCACGTAAAACCTTTGAAATCCTAGCAAAGCCCTTGTTTCTGAAGACGGGGGTTTAGCCTTGCATTAAGCCCTCCCCACCTCTGCTTGCAAGTTTCTTCCTATAATAAGCTTTAGCCTGTATGGAAACGCAGCCTCAGTGGACTACTTTTTTTTTTTTTTTTTTGAATTGAGTGATACTTTACATGGGAGAATATCAGTTTTGCACTCATCCTATCATATTTCGTTTCATTGCAATGATTACAATCCCCTCCATTCATCATCATTCAGCAGCATTTGCTTCTATTCCCTGTTTTTGTTTTTAAGTTTTTATTGTGAATTGGGTGATCGTTTCCATGGGAGAATATCAGTTTTACACGCATCCTATCGTATTTCATTTCATTGCAATGATTACAATCCCCTCCATGCATCATCATTCAACAGCATTTGATTCCATTCCCTCTGTTTTGTTTTTTTGGTTTTTTGGTTTTGGATGTACACCAAAGTACTCAGGAATATACAACCATTTAAACAAGCAAAGGGCACACCCTGCAAGCCCACCTCCTAGCCACCAACACACAGCCCCTCTCCCTCGGTGAGTCCAGGGTCCCCAGCCACTCCATCTCTCCACATCATCATCTCTGCCTCCATCTCTGGTGTCACTGCGTCTCTGGATAGGGTCCCATACTCCACTCTTCTCCCTTGATACTCCCAGGGTCCTCTGCTCCTGGATTGCAAAATCATCTACTCTCCTTTTGCTATGAAACTTCTACCACCAAAATCATACCTTTAATTTCCAACACTCACAATCAGTCCTGACAGCAATTATTCGCTATTGTACCACAAGAGTCTTATCCCCATCTCCTTGCATCAGCCCTGTCCAGACAGGTTTGAAACTACTCAGTGGGGATTCTACCTTCCACCACACCCTCTGAAACTAGGCTACCTCTTGAAAGCTTCTAAGCCAGTCACTTTGTGCCTTTGTAGCCCCCCATTTTGGGTAGCCAATGTCTAAGTTGCCCATCCCTGTCAACCCTGTGTACAGAGGGGATGGGAATGATCCTTGCTATAAAGATTCATTCCCTCTTTTGAGCTACTACATCCATAAGTATAGGTCAAGTTCATCAAATTGTAGCAGATTACTCTTTTTTTCCTCTTCTTTCTTCCTGTAGTTGAGTTCTGATCATCCAGCCATTGAAGTCAGGTCAAGTGGGTACTATCTGCAGGTATGGATGTTCTTGTGCAGCTCCCCTCACTTCATATCAGCTGGACACTTCACTCTCCACTCTAGTCCTCTGTGGTCATGTCCCTGTACCTGGGTCCAGGAATCTCTAAGTCTCACCATACTGCTGGCCAATCAGGTCTCAATCCAGGTTAGCTCACAAATTCGTTGCTGTTTTCCCCCCACTTCCCCTTATAGGTAGAACAACGTGGTCGCCAGCAAGCCCACATGCCTGCCCATGTATTCCCCATGAGCCTCAGTCTTGGAATGGGGTTTGCCCTGAGGGGACCTGACCACTTGCCTTGATGGCTCCTGGGCAAACAACTTGCTTGTTCTTGAAGTAGTCAACCATACTGCCATTATTGTTTTTAATTTTTCCTGTTTGTCTTTATTTCAGGAAGTATCTTCTGTTCTTCTAGCTGCTCCAGGCTGGTCTGCTAGTCCTTTCAAGTGGAAATTCCCCACCTCAGAAGATTCTGGGTGGGGATCAGGATTCCACCTATGGTCTTATGCAATGCAAAGGAAACCTCCTTCACTGGACAAGTTCTAGCCCAACTTTAGGTATTCTAATTAGTTATAGGCTGAAGACAGACTTACAAGCTTTCTAAGGTGATATTTCTAGCTATTTATTCCTTTCTCTGCCCCTCAAGTGTCTATCTTACAGTAGTAAGCAAGGGAGACCAAGATTCCAAAGACAGCCAAACATCTTAACATTATTTTCCCTCTTTTGCCCATTCAAACCATGCCTCAATCCCTGTATCTCAGAGCCCTGTTGTTCTAAGGTTGAGCACACAACACTATTTATCTCTGTCCCACTTAGCTCATGCAAACCTGCCTACATGTTCTTCCATCGCCTTGTTCTTCCATTCCCCTCCCCCTTCAAGTGTATTGCCGCTCCCTCCCCTCCCCCAGCACCCATATTATCTTGTGTCTATTCCCTACAATGTGCTCCACACTTCCCTCCCTCCCCTCACTTCACCCCCTACACCCCAGTAACCAACAAAGAATATTTTCCTCTTTTAATGTGGGCACTTTTTCTTAATATTTACAATAAAAATCCTATGCAGTATTTCTCCTTTTGTGACTGACTAATTTCACTCAACATAGTGTCCTCAAGGTTCATCCATGTTATGTGATAACTTACAGCTTCCTTGTAATTCTTCAAGGTAGCGTAATGTTCCATTGTGTGTATGTTTATCCATTCTTCCATTGATGGGCACTTTGGCTGTCTCCATCTTTTTGCTATTATAAATAGTGTTACTATGAACACTGGTGTGCCTATATCTACTCATGTTATGGCTCATATTTCCTGTGGATAAATACCAAGTAGAGGAATTGATGAGCATAAGGTATTTCTATTTCCAACTTAGTGAGGAAACACCATACTGTTTTTCAGAATGGTTGGGCCATTCTGAAATCCCACCAGCAATATAGGAGGGTCCCAGCCTCCCCTCATCCTCTCCAGCATTTATTGTCCTCTACTTTTTTGATCTTTGCTGTTATTGTTGGTGTGAGATGATATCTCATTGCTGTTTTGATTTGCAGCTCTCTAATGGCTAGTGATCGTGAACATTTCTTCATATGTTTGTTGGCTGCCCTGATCTCTTCCTT